TGTTGTTGTTGTTGTTGTTGTTGTTGTTGTGTTGTTGTTGTCGTTGTTGTTGTTGTTGTTGTTGTTGTTGTTGTTGTTGTTGTTGTTGTTGTTGTTGTTGTTGTTGTTGTTGTTGTTGTTGTTGTTGTTGTTGTTGTTGTTGTTGTTGTTGTTGTTGTTGTTGTTGTTGTTGTTGTTGTTGTTGTTGTTGTTGTTGTTGTTGTTGTTGTTGTTGTTGTTGTTGTTGTTGTTGTTGTTGTTGTTGTTGTTGTTGTTGTTGTTGTTGTTGTTGTTGTTGTTGTTGTTGTGGTTGTTGTGGTTGTTGTGGTTGTTGTGGTTGTTGTGGTTGTTGTGGTTGTTGTGGTTGTTGTGGTTGTTGTGGTTGTTGTGGTTGCCAGTGACGTGGTTCGCCGACGTAGAACTGTCACGCGGTTTCTGTTCCGGTGTTTCACATCATCCACGTGCATCATCGCGCACCATCGTTCACGTGTACACAAGTCTGGCCAAATGTTAACGTTCCCGTCCACGCGCATCATCGTTCACGTGTACACAAGTCTGGCCAAATGTTAACGTTCCCGTCCACGCGCATCATCGTTCACGTGTATACAAGTCTGGCCAAATGTTAACGTTCCCGTCCACGCGCATCATCGTTCACGTGTACACAAGTCTGGCCAAATGTTAACGTTCCCGTCCACGCGCATCATCGTTCACGTGTACACAAGTCTGGCCAAATGTTAACGTTCCCGTCCACGCGCATCATCGTTCACGTGTATACAAGTCTGGCCAAATGTTAACGTTCCCGTCCACGCGCATCATCGTTCACGTGTACACAAGTCTGGCCAAATGTTAACGTTCCCGTCCACGCGCATCATCGTTCACGTGTATACAAGTCTGGCCAAATGTTAACGTTCCCGTCCACGCGCATCATCGTTCACGTGTATACAAGTCTGGCCAAATGTTAACGTTCCCGTCCACGCGCATCATCGTTCACGTGTACACAAGTCTGGCCAAATGTTAACGTTCCCGTCCACGCGCATCATCGTTCACGTGTATACAAGTCTGGCCAAATGTTAACGTTCCCGTCCACGCGCATCATCGTTCACGTGTACAAGTCTGGCCAAATGTTAACGTTCCCGTCCACGCGCATCATCGTTCACGTGTATACAAGTCTGGCCAAATGTTAACGTTCCCGTCCACGCGCATCATCGTTCACGTGTATACAAGTCTGGCCAGCATGCACAAAGATCTCGAAAGCGAGCTCATTGGAGCCATGTGGGCCGAGGATTAGAAAAAAAGTGCTCAAGAGTCGAAGTTTTTCAATCAAGAGGCGTAGAAACTGCCTTTTGTGAGCAAGTGCAGAATGTGCCACGAATACCATTGTTTTGAAGGGTTTGCATGCTTCTTGCTGTGTTGAAAATGCATTTTTAGCCACGCAGGCCATGGTTTTCAGAGTTGCATTGACATGGTTGGTTGAAGCAATTGCTAGTTTTCCTTGCGCCTGCCAGTGATTTGGGAACGTTGTACTTTGATGACTGGTTTGAGCCCTTTCGCAAAATCGCCGACCTTTCACGGCGGCGAAACACGCGGATACCTTGTGGTTGTTGTGGTTGTTGTTGTTGTTGTTGTTGTTGTTGTTGTTGTTGTTGTTGTTGTTGTTGTTGTTGTTGTTGTTGTTGTTGTTGTTGTTGTTGTTGTTGTTGTTGAACTGCGGGTTGTGGGGTTGCCCCCATGTTTGAGCCTCAGCCACATCTCCTCTCGAGGCAGCTACAGCAGCGCCCACAACCAGGCAGGATTTTTGTGGCCTCCGAATTGCGGGTTTTACTTTTTGTATATCCCCCCTATTAACTTTAAACCCGTGTTAATAAAGAGGATGTAGAGCAAGTAAAACTCTCCAACAGAAAAACGTAGTTTCTCTCTTTGCTCCTGCTCTTGCTCTTGCTCTTGCTTTGTCTCTCTCTCTCTCTCTCTGTCTGTCTGTGATCAGGTTGCGAAAAATCAGTTTGTGTTTTAGTCGGCCCGTGTTTTCTTCCTGCCTCCTCTTTTCCAGCGCCGGTTTCATCCGTCGGTAGGCGGCCTGCGCGCCGTGCCCAGCGGGGGCCTCGGGGCCGGAGGGCGCCGCCGGGGTCGCCGCGTGCGTCTGCGCCACGGGGCAGCTCTTCGGCGGTTTCTGCGGCTGCCCCGCGGGGAGGGCGATGACGAAGGAGGAGGCGGGCGGCGGAGAAAAAACATATGCGCCACGGCCTCGAAACCGATGGCATGTTTACCTGTTTTTTGAACCAGGGTCCCTAGGGTTGTATTCCGACTCGATTGACTGCGGAGTTGGGATGGTGGGAGTTTCTTGCGGGCACGCGGGTTGGGCGAGTTGCGGGCTTGAGCTGGGTGGATGGGACCCCGTTCTTGTGTTGCAGCTTCTGGGGAAGGGCCTGAGACTTGTGCGACAGACGATTTGTCGAACATGTTCGAACGCTTGTGCCGCTATGGCAACGCTTGATTCAATCTTGCGAGTTTGCCTGATGATGGGTTTTGTCAGCTTGTTGGGTGCGTGTCAAATAAACCAGCCTGCGCCAGTCACCGTACGTCTTGTCACATCCTGCATTGTAGCTCTGAAATCTATCTTATAATTCACCCAGATGGATGGAATTCAATGACTCTCAGAAGTCTCGTCCCACAGTAAATGGCCCAAACCCAAGCATGCCTTCCTCCCTGAATCAACCGCCCCTTGTGCATGGATGAATCTGTGGGTTGAGTTCGGAGTTCACAGCGGTTTGGGCTCCATCTTGTTTAATTCGTCACTCCTAGCACATAACAATTTCTGGTCAAGCCCCAACTTTGCCGCGTTTTATGCCACGCGGCAATATTTCTTGACCTTGTGGCTTGCGGCAAGGTGAATACATATTCGCAACCACACAATCTTGGACAACCTGGGTAAACACAACCCAAAAGACAATTGGTTGTTCATTTCAAAGGGCCATGTTACCCGAAGGCGGAAGGATCGATGGTGGTTTGGGGGCTCGAAGTTTACATCTTTTGAGGCACCCCCCACAATTTTTGGCGCCTTCAAAAACGCTCCACTTCTGGCGCCCGCGTTTTTAGTTTTCGCCGCCCACGCCCGCAACGTGCGACGCGCGCAGTCCTGCGAGCTCTGCGGGAAGCTGCAGCTCCAGTGCTCGCGGCCCCTGAGCCGTGCGAGCGCCGCCCCACCGTTGCCCGGCTGCGCCCGCCTGGCCGCCCACGCGGAGGCGCGGTGCTTTTACGTGGGCACGCTTTTTTACACGCGGTGCGTTGGCGGGCAGAAGTGGGCGGCAGAAGCTGAGGTAGAAGGACATAAGATGTTTAAGCATCAAGTAGGAGGTTGGCGCAGACCAGAGAAGCTGAGCGCTAAGTTCACCCCACGTAGTTGCATCACCTCGCCAATCAAAATTGGACTGAGCCACTTCGGGGCAGTGGTTAGCAGCGTACAAGCATTGGTGTCTTGCGAAGACTGACAACATGAGGTGTCTTCAGAAGTTGTTTTCCTTCCCTTTGTTCACCCTTTTCTGGCAGTCTTTTGTCAGATGAACGTCTTGCAATATTGGTATTGATCATACACTCTGGGGTTGGGGTGTGTGTGTGTGTGTGTGTGTGTGTGTGTGTGTGGCACCACTTTCACATTTCCAACACAGCCCGGGGCCGGGCCCTTCCCAGAGGGGAGCGGACACTCCCAAGGGTAGTTGCAAGAATCACCGGAGTCTGTCCACCAAGTCCCCCAAGATTCCCGATCTGCCGCGTTCTGATGTCCATCAGTTCGGTCATCAAGCAGATTATTTCAGGAAACCTTCAATTTTCATTACCTGAAATGAGGAATTTTCATTCCCTCAAGCAAGCAATAATTTGTTGTCCATCATCTCAGGGTATGAGTGGAACCTCCCCAGCAAGCACACAGTTGCCTGAATCACCGAAGTCTGTCCAAGATTTTAGAAAAAAACGAGTGATGATGTCCGTGTTCTGATGTCCATCATTTCGGGCATCAAGCAGACTATTTCAGGAAACCTTCAATTTTCATTACCTGAAATGAGGAATTTGTTCGTCGCCCCAAGGACTTTCGCGAGACTCGCCGCAGGCTGCCTTCAAGTGCCTTCCGCCGGAAGCGCGGTGCCCGGGCAATGCGTCTGGTGAAAGCCTGGGCTGCGCGCCAGGCGGGGGGTCTCGTTTGCTCTTTGGGGGGTCCTAGGTTTAGTGGGGATGAAAGGACCACTTTCGGAGAGGCCCCCTTTTCATTGAAAAGCAGGGGTTGATTCATCCGGCTTTTACTTTTGAGACAAGTTCTCTCAGGTCATGAACAAAAACAGGGGGAGATTCATCCTTTTTTTTCTTTTTCCTTTGAGCTCTGAGAGAGTTTTACTGCTCGACTTCAGGCTACGGCGGCCCGCTCTGCGCGGATTGCGCCGAGGGCTTTCGCTCCAGCGGCGGTCTCTGCGTGGCATGCGCGCCGCTTTTGGCGCAGAAGACTCGGCTGCTGTGGGCCTTGGCCGCGGCCGCGGCCGCGGCCGTCGCCGTGATGCTTCTGCTCTTGGCGCGGGGCCGCGCTGAGGAGTGGGGTCCGGGACGAGGGGCCAACTTTCTGTGCAGCTTTGGAGTTTCCTTTTGAACCCATGGGCTGCAGGCTCACCCTGCTTGTGGCATTTGCTTAAGGCTCCAGAGTCCTGCTTAAGGCAGGAAGGGAGTTTTGACACATTCATTTGGGGTCTATGCACTGCTTGTTGGTCGGCCATTCAGCAGGTCACCTTTCGGGAGGGATTTGGGGCTATTGAATACCCGTCCGGCGTCGCACATGCACCCGCTTCGATTTGCTCTTCCACCTCGCCAAACCTGATTTGGACCTCCAGGAACCTTTTGGCTTGCGGGCAAGCAACAAACAGACCGGTGGAGAATCCAAAACCCGCCCGCCCCGAGTCCGCCCCTCCCGCGCGCTGCTCCAGGAGAGGTCGGAGGTGTCGCCGGCGGCTCGCCGCATGGTGCTGCTGGGCCTGGCGAAGCTGCAGGCCGGCGGAGGGGAGGCCTTTGGATCATAGGCGGCTTGATTCCCAGCTTCCTAGGCGTCCCTTGTAGGTACCAGCTTCTTGGCATGGACACCAGCTTGACTAGAAATAGATGGGTTCCACTGGGTTTTTTCATGGGCTTTATGGCCCATTTGCGAGGGGAACCCATCTATTTTCCACAAAGGATGCCTCTGCTTTGGGTAGGCGAACCGTTCTGTTTAGGCTGAACTTAGCCCGAAGGTAGACTCAAACCCAGGGGTTGCCCTTTGGAAAAGCAACCCCTGGGTGTAAGTCAGGGAATCGCAAAGTGGAACTGTGCAAACACTGGTAGGAACAGCGAAATTATACAGACGTACCTGGCACGTCCTTTTTGTGCTGAACATGGATGGGGTCCTCTTTCTGTTGGCAAAGGGAAGTTTCGGGGCACCACTATTTTGAGAAGCCCCCGATGCATTTCAGTTTCCGACATTGCCCCAAACAAGCCTTGAGGGAAACAAAGGGTGAGGGGTACATAGCCCTTGCACATGGCGAAGTTGTCCTTTTTGGGTCAGCTTGGCTGACAGTAGGCGGAGCCAATCTGGTTTCAGTGCGGTTCTAACCATTTGCGGGTGGCATACCGACGGACCGAGTGTTTCTTACTTCCGGGATCCTAGACCGGAGGAGCTCCGAAAGTCTTCCGTCCTGGACTGGGAGTGTTTTGGGAGCCCTCAGCTTGGGAAAAGAGACCCGCCGAAAGTCAAGACCTTTTATGGGACTTGCATCCTTTTTGCGTTTCACGATTTGCTGGGAACATGGCTTGCTGGTGCGATAGGTGGGGAAATGAATCTGGCGATTCCCTTAAAGGACAGCATAGCGGATGGTTTTGCCGGGGTCATTCCAACTCATTCCCGGCTGAGACCAACCCCAAAGGCACAGATGGCCGTTTTTCCCCCTTCCTCGGATATTCAACCCACTTAATGGTCGTCATAACTGTGGTCACAACTGGGAGTACTGAGATTCACAAATCCTCCACTTACCTGACGTGGGGGCTGGGGGGGTTGAAACACCAATGCCCCCCGTTAAACCCCCCCCACCCACCCCAGAGATGCCTTTCCCCGCCAGGAATTCTGCTCCAGTGATCCCAGCACTCACTTACCACAGGCTTTCCCACAAGCCACACTTTCCCACGCCCGCACCTGGCCTGGGCGTTTCTCTCAAAATCGGACTCGGCCTCACATGGCGCAAGATGGGTCCGAATCCCCCTGCGCAGAACGAAAGACCAAAACCTCCACCTCCCTGCACGCGTGTCTTCTCACCCACCCCACACCACACCCCACACCCCACACCCCAAAAAATAGTAAAAGGGGAATTCAAAGAATTCTACTTTTACTATTTTTTTCTCCATCAGCAACACAACAAACAGAAAACAAAATCCAGAACAACAAGCAAACAAAATAAATAATCACAACCAGCAACAAAAATATTTAATCACAGCATACAACATTAAGTAATTCAAACAAGCATACCAACAAAACAGCAAAAATAAAAACCATCAAAGAACACAAACTCAAACACACACATCAACAAATTTCAAAGCAACATACCAACAAAACATATCAGAAGAGTATCAAACAAAATAAAAACAAACAGCCAAAGCACGAAAAAATCAAAAGAGCATACCAAGTTCAAACAACGCACTTTGAAAGAGATAACCAAATTAGGGAAAATAAAATATTTCAATCTTTACAAACCATAAGTTCAGTATAATTATAACATATAAGATTTTACATGTTATTATTATAGTATGATTATAATTTCAGTACAGGATAATAATTTAATTGACAAATCTTTCTTCTTTCATGCATCATTTTAAAAATAATATTAGCATCTCTCACTGTATTCTGAACATTAAACTTTTTACTTTCAATAAATAATTTGATATTTTCTTTAACATCTTCCCCTTTCTCTTGACTATAGCCCAACATCCATAATATATCATAAATCATTTCATATTTTTTCTTACTGATTTTAAGAAACTGTTTAACATAATCATAAGGTGGTATTTTATTTACAGTTAGAAATATTAAAATCTCATCTTCTACATTTCTATTATGTCTTCCTTTTATTCTCAACAAACATTTGATTAAAAATTGATTATCTCTCCAATTTGTACAATTTTCACGGCGCAGTTGCAGAATGTGCAGATGTCAGACTAGGATGTATCACACAAGGGTCATGTGTGATGGAATGCACCACCACGCATCTCAAATCTAGCATCCAGCATGTCAGATTCAGCGTCCAGCATGTCAGTTTCAGCATCCAGCATGTCAGTTTCAGCATGTCAGATTCAACATCCAGCATGTCAGTTTCAGCATCCAGCATGTCAGTTTCAGCATCTTAAATGTGGCTTTCGTCTTTGTTTGTGCTTCCATCATGCAAGAAGTATTGGCACGTGCCGACGCTCGACTTCATCTTCGGTCGGGCACTTGACCGGAAGCCTTCGGGTTTGGGTGCGTGTGTGTTTGGGGGGTCGTTAGGTTGCCCTTTCGGATTTCCCTCTCGGTGGTTTTTGGGGTGTGGGTGTGTTTGGTTCTTTTCTGGTGTGAGCGCGTCCCCCTTAAAGGCTTCGCCTCATCCGCGATGAATACAATGATGGTGGATGTTGTGATGAACCATCCTAATTCAAACTCACCAAGATTTCACTAATTAATTCGCTAGGTATTTTATATAGGTCTTCCTGTTTATGTATTATTGGATTGTCTCCCCATTTTTCCTTGTTTCCATTTGGCAGTCTCTGCGCAGTTTCAATATGTTTATTATTCCTGATGTTGCCACAAAATCCTTTTTACATAATTCTCTAGGTTTCCAAGTTGTAATGTTATTCCAAAGCCTAGTTCTCTTTCTGTAAGGCATTCCATATTTACAATAATCTACATCTTTAAATTCAAACTCATCCATAAACTCCTGATTGTTTTAATCATCCAGTTTGTGGATTTTCGATTACAAAATATTTAGGATTAAAATATTTGATAATCTCAAGAGTTTTAAGACAATACTATTTGCATATTCGATATTCCTAATGCCCCTAGTTTTTGCTACACTATATTCAGTGCATGGAGGACTTGCCCACACAAAATCAAAATGGTTCCTATCAAATTGTGTATAATCCCATTTCAAAATATCAGTATTTATATCAGCATTTTTCAAATGCACTGAAATAACATTGACACCCATTGCTTTTGCAACAAGTCCAACACTGCCTGTCCCGCTAAACATCTCTAATAAGTTCATTATTAAAGATATTTAGATAATATTCTCTATGAATAAATCCCTGTATCTTCAGCATAGTCAATCTGATAAAATGTCATAGTGGAAGACTTCGGTTCTTTAATTTCTTTGTTATTAAGTTTGTTTAAATAATTTTGGTGATTCAAAGTTTTTTCGTGTCTTGCTTTTGCCCTCCAAGACACACAACAATTACAAATCAAACATGTATGTTTGCGGTCTTTTATTTTCTCAATATATCGTTTTTGCCATTCCTTTTTCTTTTCATTGTTGCTCTGTTGGTAAAACCTGTTATAAACTCGTATCTTGTCTTGGTTTTCTTGCTGGTACAGTTTGTTGTATGCCCGTGTTTTATCTTTGTGTTCTTCACGATATTCTTTTTGATACTTACTAAGTTTTTCATTGTTTGTTTCTTGATATGCTTTCATGTATAGTTTTGCTTTCTCTTTGTGTTCTTCGACCTCTCTATATTCCTTGTCAGTTCTCCCTGCTATCTGTTTGTTTAACTTACTTTGGTATTCTCTAATATATTCACCTTCTCTCTTGTGTAATTCGTCACGGGTGTTGCACGGGTAGTTTTCCAACAGTTCTATATAAAAATTAGCTTTATGTAGTTCTCTCATTATACAATACAATCTGAACTCTTGACACCTTTTAGTATTCATATCTCTTCTATGTTGAACCATTCTTTGTGATAAACTCTGACAAGTGCTACCGATATACACTAAATCGTTTAAGGTGTTTCTAATGATGTATATCTTACCGTGTTTAAAGTTCTGTTTTCGTCTAAATGTGTTTTCTTGTTCCATAATGTTATATATTGTTTTATGTTGTGTTGTCTTTAAGTGTTTATATATTATGAATAAACCCCTCTATCTTCATCATAGTCAATTTGATAAAATGCCATAGTGGAGGACTTCGGCTCTTTTATCTCTTTGTTGTTGAGTTTGTTTAAATACACTTGTTTCCTATTTTTATATTCACCACTGGTTCTATCTACTTCTTTACTTTGATAACTGTTTGTTAAAGGTTTCTTCTTTTCCATTTCTTGCAAGATTTCTATAATATTCTTATTCTGTTCTAACACCTTGTTCAGTTTTTTAACAATCTTTTCTAATCCTTCATCCATGTAAATATATACTAAATTATAAAACTAAACTTTTAAAACTAAATGTTGCAATTATGTTAAATCTACTCTTTAAATTCTAATTTTTCATTATTTGTTTAACAGTTTCCTGAGTTTCCTTATCACCATTGTCGGATGGAGTAACTCCCCTCCCAAAGCGAATAGCACTATTATGAACATCTGTTTCTAAGTTGATACTGTCTTTAGTTTTATCAAATTCATTTTCTTATCATTCTTACTTATTTTGAAACTGGTTGGAATACACGAACATTTACAGTTTCCTTTCTTCTGTATTTCTAATTCATTTTTTAATTCTAACATCTTTTTACACATTGGACAAGCAAACTCAATAACTGATGTTTCTTTAACAATTTCTTCTTTTTCTTCATCAGTTGAAGAAACAACTGGTTCAGTCTTATTCTTTTTCTTTCTCCCCATCTATATTAATATTTATATTTTTAATATATTGTATCAAACACTTAATTAGTTCTAAAACAAAATAGCATACTTTTTTAAATCTATTATTAGTTATAACAACTTGTTCTATATTTTCTACTTCGTTTATTATATTGATATAATCTGAATAACTTCTATCCATATAAAATAATACATA